AACCTGACGTATGAGTAATTTTTTGGCGACAGTGCGTATGAGCAACATTTGGACTTTTTCGATTTTACGATAAAAAAAACGTTGCAGTATTTGCAAAAATAAAAAAACAAATATATTATTTGTTATTAATATAGTTCACACAGTTAAAATATTGCTAATTGTTAAATCTCGATTTTGGCTGGCACCAACAACTGTACCAACCAAATGCAGAACTCTAGCGAAAGCGAAAGAACAGCATTATAAATAGAACTAACATCGGGTATTTAATAATCCCACGCCCACTGTGCCTGCAAGCTCACAAATACACGCCAAAAGGTGTTGGATGCCAAGAGAGATCGCTCCATGAGAGAGTGCACATAGCGGAGAGATCGAGATGCGATGTGGAGAATGCGAGCCGAAGAGAGTGGGACGTCGGTGATGTCATCGCCACTTATTGACGAATACACACGAAGGGGAGCCACAGCCAAACGTACGAACTAATCAAAACAAGCAATCGAAGCCTATACAGATTAGGGACCCAAAGGTTCGATCCACGCACGTTGGACGCGAATTTCGATCAAAGAACCCAACACACTGCACATCCAAATGGGGACCAAACGTGTGCAGCGATCTTATTGGAGTGCAATTGATAACAGCTGTGGGGGATCGCTTCCTCTTGTTCTCGGTTCTCTGTCGCTCTCACGTAACAAGCAACCCCAATTGGGGGGCCTTTTTGAAATGGTAATTCGCCGATGGCACCCACTGTAACTGCGGGCACGTTCTTCCATTGAATTCTTGGCGTTTTCATCAATTAAATTGCCTCTTTTTCTTTAAATGAGCTGCATTTGCTTTCCGCTGAATGAAACAGACGATCGTTGTTTATGCCATTTAAATGGGGTTTTCTTTATCAGTCAATTGCGGTCTTGTTTCCCAGCAGGTTCAGGTTGCACTTTCCCAATGAACTTTTGTGGCTATTACACATACACCATCAAGCCAGGGGCCACAAATGTACACTTGTAAAAAACATGATTTAAAATACCGATTGTTATATACTTCTTTTAGGTGCAGAAAGCGATTTAAATGTATTTTAGTTAGTGTTATTGTATTTACATATTCCTGTCTTTTTAAGATATAGCAAGTATGCCAGGATTATTTATAAGTGTTAATCCTAATATGATTACAAAAATGTACTTATTTCTTTCAGTGCTGCCCATAGAGAAGAAGCTGTCGCATCTTTTTTTGATTTCTCAACATTTTCTTGTAGAAAGCGTAGAGGTGGGCAAAAGAAACAACAACAGCAACCACAACGAATATAACAACAATGGCTAAGGCAATATCAATGAAACTCCAACCGCCAAGTGACGTCAGTAGAGCAACATGCAACATGGCATAAAGAAAACAAATTAAAATCAAATACAGCGAAAATATGCGCTTAAAAAAATAATGTCTGAGAAATAGCTGCAAAAATGCTCTGCCAATGCCAGCAGAGGTGATCTTCTTCTTCATCTCCTACTTGCCGTTGCTGCTATTGTTGTTGCTGTTTCGGCAGCCAGTTGTGGGTGGCAAATAAACAAGTTGCTCTCCCGCTCGCTCACGCGCGTGGTGCAGACCCCACCGCCTATCTTTCGCTCTCCGGTGACCTGTCGCCGCTCTCTTTCGCTGGCCTTAGTTGCGTCCCTAGTTGGCAACTCGTTTACCTTTTTCGTATTTCGAATTTCGAATTTTGTTTTTTTCCTTTTCGTCTTGCAGCTTTGCGCTGGCGAACATCTGTTGTTGTTAACTCTTTCTGTCGCAAATCTGCTGAAACAAAGTCATGTGGAATTTTGGTAATGCCAATCAGAGCCATATGCTGTGACAACCGGGGATTGCGGGTCCATGTGGCCATCTAATGTTGGCCAAAACGATGGAAAGCTAACACATGGACGATTACAGATAGTTTGAGTGTGGTTTTCGGCTGTGCAAGATACGCATTCGATTCAATTGATTCGAATGTCCGCATCATATGCTCGTCTCTTTTCCCACTCGAAAGTTTCCACGTTCAATCAAGTTTACAGTTGGAGATTGGCCTGTCATCTGCATCTCAAGGGGATATTTTCCCAAGGCTCAGAAACTCACTTTTGTATCGAAAACATATTTTACATATATTATATATTATTATATTATATATATATTGGCTCTTGCACTGTTGCATGAATGGGCTTGGTGAACTATATAGTTCTGTGATCTCATTGCGTTAGAGCTGAATTATTCATTACCTTTGTTCAATAACATTGAAATAAATCTATAGTTATGTAGGTTGGGTCATTTCCTGTCACAAGCTTGCGTCTTATTTTTGGCTTTGTTCTAGAACTTGTTTGAGAATTTACTGGCCAATGTTGTTCTGGAACTTCCAGATGCTGATAATTTAGCACATGCATAAAATATTGGACTCCACATAATTTCACATTATGCTTTAGTTTACCCAGGGCAATAAAGAAAAACACATCAACATTTTTTATTGACGTTCATTGAATTTTATTGAAATTTTGCGAGTTAATACAAAACCGAAATTGAAATTAATGCAATTAACATTAAAAACGCCCGCTCACCGTTACAATGCCACTGAAAAACGTTTGTTTAATACTATGGTTAACTGATTTACAATTACTAGAAGAGTGTCTCGTTTCTTGTCTACAAAAATGTAAAATAATAGTCACATTTAAAATTGCATAAATTCTAGACAAGTGTAGATGTTATAGTATGTCGTACATATTGGTTTTTTTTTTACTTTTTTTGTTTTGGAGAAATTCTCATGCATAAAATGTTTTTGTATTTCATAATCATTCTTCTTTTTCATATTTTCATTTATTTGTTGTTGTTGTAATAATTTGGAATTATGCATTATATGTTTTAAATTTTATTGCATTTTATGTAATTAAATATATATAACGTACATCACAGCAAAACTTTATAATTTTTTTGTTTGTGTTTTTTCTTGGTTTTTTTTTTGTTTTGTTTTGTTACTATAAATATATTTTTATGATAAGCTTTTGATTTTTGTTAATAGTCTGGAAAATAAAAAACCCGAAGAGAGTTGGAAAAAAACTATTCGATGGAAACACGTAGTATTAGTGCGTTAGTTCAGGATAGACGGAAGCTATATAACGAACTGAATAGCGTGAAAATATGGAAACTGGATACAAATAATAAGATTGATTAATGTTTCTTTTCCGCTTAGCTTGGTTGATTGAATTTTTTACATATACTCATACTCGTAAGTAATTATGTCAGTGCACGTATAAAAGGTATTCAATTCATGTATATAATATATTCTATATATAGTTATTTGCTTTTACCATAACGTTCTGTTATTGTGACAAAAAATAAACTTTATTTGGGTTTTCGTTTATCATTCAGTTGATGTTCCTACTAATAAAATTCTAGAAAAGCACAACACCTTTACAATGGTCTTTTGGAAATACCATTTATATATATTAAAAACAAGAAAGAACGCTAAAATCGGTTGATCCGATTACGTGATACCCGGTACTCATTATCCTGCCGAAAAATAATTGCCTATTTCTGGGCGCTTGCTGAATAACTATCAAGAACAACCAATATTGCCTTAGAGCAGTGAAGACGATCTACTATTGCTATATTTTAGATATTAAAAGTATCACCATAAAAGTACAATACAAATAAATTTTCTGTATTCTAAAACGGACAAACTAGCGGACATGACGTTATTTGTTGGATTTGAAACATATATATATGTACATATATCCTTTTCGAATACCGGGTATAATAAATACACACACGTTTACACATATACTAGGTATCAAGATTTCAGTAATGCATAGCTTTATTAAGGATTTGAGAACGGGGGAGCTAGGACAGGTCGGCTTTGGGTAGGAAAAGTGCTGCAAACTCTCGCTATAAGCAACGGATGAGCCAATAGATGCGGCATATGGCCTTCCCGAAGGGGCTAAACTAATGTTATGTATATCCATTCTCACAAAAAATCAATGCTATCCATAGTATATATATGCTATAAAAAGTTGTTGAGTTAGTTTCAATGGTTTTTTAATACGAATGGAGGGCAGGAATCATTTCAATTTACTTGTTCTTCTCATTTCTCGTTTGGTTTAGTTCCACGTTAATTGGTTAATTGTGTATACCGATCGATAGATAGATATAGATAATTATTGTATGGTACTCGTACTTGTACTTGTACTTGTACTTGTATATTGGTAAAAATGGTTTGCTTTTTCTGTCCTTCTCCGGCTTCAAAGGCTAGTGCACGTAGTTTGCTTAAATCGCATATATCAGAGGGAAAATCTCTATGTGTGTATATATGATACTCGTAATACTCGCATCTGATGCAATTTTAATAGACAAGTCACATTGAAGGAGGTTAAGGTGTGTGTGTGTGGGTGTGTTTGTGTGTGTGCATGTTAATGCTTTAGAGTTTAGAGCTACAGACGTTACAGTTCAAAAGGCAAAAATACTACGGAAGTGGATGGACTGGTCGATGGGCGGCTGAGGTCACCACCCACGCACGCTGGCCCTGGAAAAGTCTGGTTACGATATTACGATACTTGTGTTCTCATAGCGATTGCAATATGTTTAATTACGCACACAACTACTACGAATACATTAATAAGCCCACCAATATACATATGTATGTTTGTTGCTATGCCTGTATGCTAAATTCTTATATGGTTTCTTTCCCTCCTGTAAGTGTGTGTGTTCGTATGCATGTGTGTGTGTGTGTATATGCATCTATATATAGTATATTTGTTGAAACGCTTTTCGTCCTCCGTTCATCTGGTTTAGTCGATTTCAAAGATTGCTTATATGTTTCAAGATTAGTTGCTTCCGTTTATAGTTACTAATTTTCAAACAGTAGAAACGAACAAAATATATATACGATCTTTTTTTCCCCTCATAGGATATCATTATCATTGTTTTTGTTTGTTTTTTTGTTTTGTTTTTTGCTAGTGCAAGAAGAAGAACTTCTTCAGTGGGTTCAGTTCGTACAATTAGTATAAAATGCAATGCACTATATTTATGCTGGTTTTTATGTAAGTCGTATAAGGGTAAATATAGTACGTTGTTATTAAAAACTAAAAGTAATGGTAGTAAATACAAAATACGTAGAGGAAGCAGTAAATACGCAAGCCTAACTCAAAAGCGTGAAAACACAAGTCCCAGTTACAAATATTTTGCTTTGCTTAAATGTGTATTCTATAATAATATAGAGTTATTCATGGCTATGCGTGTGGACAGCAACAATTCAAGATAAACCATTTTGATTTGGCACCGATACCTCAAAGAGTCCCGAAAAGCCCCTGGGGATTTATAATTCCTGAACGCCCCATAACCATCTGGGTTTTGAGTGACCGCTGCCAAGCATTTGAATACACTATGTTTGTTCGCATATAGTTATTTGAATGGATTATAGGATATATCCTCGAGTTTTAAAGGCAAAGAAATTCTATTATGAATATTGTGCATATCTTGGCTTATATACAGACACTTGGTTTACGGCCATTATGGTTCTTCATACACACAAATATATGTATATTCGTACATATGTACGCTGTTTAACTATAGTTGAATTCTTGGTGGTACGCATATATGGGTTACTCCTAATTACGGTTACCATTACTCACATACAAACTAATGTCTAAGACAAGCTACTGAAGAGGCGGCGAGTTTCGCGTGGGCGTGGCCGAAGAGCGGAGCGGGTGCATCCATCACGTGTGGCCAGTTGGGCGGGGGCTTACAGCTGAGGAGGAAGCGTCGACGGTTTGGCAGTTGGATTCGTTGCGCGTTACATCAAGTGATGGCGGTGGTGGGAGGTGGCTCCCCCGCCGCTAACCAGCCATCCACACCCGGCAAGCTCCGTCGCCCCGACCACTCATCGCCCGGAAAAGCCAAAGCTGGAGGTGTGTGGAATTGGGTTTCGGGTCTAGGCCGCTTGGCTCTGCTGGGGATTGGCGGTGGCCGCTGCTGCCGCGGACGTTCCCGCCACCCCGGCACTTCCGCCGGACGTGCTGCTCAAAGAAGCCGCAGCTCCGGCTGTTGCCTGCGCCTGTTGCTGCTGGTCGGCGCCGTCGAAGTAGTCGGAGGCATTTCCACGGCAAATTGGGCAAGTGCGATTGGACTGGTAAGCAAATAGGGCATTTTGATTTATTATTACATTTTGGAAATACTTTGAAGCACTCACCCGCAGCCATTTGTCCACGCACTTGGCGTGGAATTCGTGGGAGCAGGGCAGAACGCGCAGTAGCTGGCGTAGCTCAAAGTCGCACATGCACACCACACAGGATGATTGGTCGCCTGGAGGAAAGATAGTTGGATCAGTAAGTAAATAATGGACGAGTAGTGGAAACAATTATATAAATTGCATAGCTATAACTTTGTGTTTGTATATCAAGCAATTTTTATAATTAAATTGAAATTATAGCATACATTTTCGGGCAGGCTTGATACTAAATTACGTATACGCATTGTTGCCATCGCCAGTGTGTGTTTATCAAAATCAACTTAAGAAGTCTTTTGAAACTATATATTTTCCCTCAGTTTATCCTTTATTTGTCAAGCATTTTTGAAACCAAACAAATTTCTGGTCCACTTGTCGGATGTGTAATATTTACATGAAGTTGAAATGAAGTTTAGCTAACAGCTTTTTGCTTTTCGGGTAACTAACTTGTTCTGATCTGCAAAAAGACCTATTCACTCACCGTTGTGCACCTCCGGATTGAACTTGTAGCTGGGCAACTGATCGATCTCATTGCGAGTGAGTCCCCTCGGCTTGGCCTCACCCAATCGCTCGGCCAGGCTGAGCAGCGCCTCGTAGTTCTCCGTCTCATTGGTGTCGCCAGAGCTCAGATCATGTTGGTTGTAAGGCGACAGCGGGAACATGGCCCTATACATAAGAAAAAGCATTGGGTTATTCAATGGACAAGGAGAAACGTGACCAGCAGAGCATACAGGAAATTGAGCAAGAAGCCGGGGTTGATGATGCCCGAGGTGGCCTGGATCTGCACAGGAGCTTGGTGGGCGGCGAGCGACTGCGGCGGCAGGACGTGACGATGTCCATGGTTCGCCGCCCAGAAACGCGGTATGCGGCGGTGGGGCGGGAATGTGCGGCGGTCCGACGAGATGATGATCTGCTGCGGCCCGGCGGACATCTGGGCGCTGGCCTGGGCAGCAACGGCCGCTGCGGCTGCCGCCGTGGAATGTAGATGATGGGTGGCAGCAGCTGCCGCGGCACCGCTCAACGGGGTGATGTGGATGCCCGGCGGCAGCTGGTGAGCATGTGGATGAGCATGTGGATGGGCGTGCGGATGGCCATGGGCTCCCGGAGCCTCAATGGGTCCCAGATTGGCCGTTGCAATGGCCACCACATCCCGCTGCTGCTGCTGGGCGCTCAACGTGGCCTGGGCAATCATTTGCTGGGCTGTGGGAGTGCAGGAGACATTAGATAAGCATTGGAAGCTTGAGCTCAGTACTCACCCTGAATAAGTGGCTGATGTTGTTGTTGGAGTGGTGGAGCGGCCAGTCCGGGTGGTGGGGGGGCGGGGAAGGGCTGCGTGTAGACACCGTGCAGGTGGCAGGGTGCAAGTCTAGCCTGCGCCGGTATCGGATACGTGCAGAAGGAGGCCCAGAAGGGCTCCGAGGGACGCAACTGCAGGCTCACGGGCACCTGGTTCAGATTGAGGTCCACCATCAGGGAGGCGGGCTGTGGCGGTGCTGATGGATAGCCCACCGTTTGCTGGTGACTCGGTGGCTGCGGCGGTGCCTGCACCTGCTGCAGAATGGGACCCACCGAGCTGCTGGAGGTGGCTCCACCAGAGCTTCCACCACTGCCGCCCAAATCCCACGGAGAACGCTGGACGTGCGGCGGTGGCACCTGCTGCTGAGGAACGTAGTGGGGCTGTGGCTGATGGTGGTGCATCGGATGGTAGTTGGATGGCGGCTGCTGTTGCTGCTGCTGAGGATGATGAACCTGCTGGCCGTACTGCTGTTGCTGCTGCTGCGTGGATGTGGCCACATCGCGCAATCGCGGGCGTCGCAGCGGCGGACTTCCCTGCTGCATCTGTAGAGGATTACCGGTTAAGTTAATAAGCTATTGAGCAAAAGACGGATCTGGAAACTTACGTGTGCCATTAGACAACGGTGTTGGGGCTGTGGTCCGTTCTGAGGTCTTCCGGAGATGCGGCGACGCTTGCGCGACGGACTGTCCGAGTTGAGTCCTCCTGGTCCATTGTTTAGTGACAGCGAGGAGCCCGACAGGCCCGAACCCGAGGGCAGTTCACCCATAAGTCCTGGTCCGCCGGTCGAAGTGGACGCACCGTTGTTGTTTCCATAGGCCATGTGCTGGTAGTGCGATCCATTGCGTCCGTAGCCACCGCCTCCGCTACCTCCTCCGTTGCGCATAAAGTTGTACGAAGAGCCCTCAGCTCGATCCCGATGGTCGGGTCCTCCGTTCTGCTCAGAGTTTCCAAAGTGCTACGGAAAAGGATTTACAACTTTAAAATATATATCTTCTAGCTATGATGTATTCATATTGATACTCGTATTAGTTAAATCGCTTACGTTATTCAAGTTCCTGTCGTTGTAGTTGCGCTGATGGTGTCCGGAATTGATGAGGCCGTTCATGGATGAGGACGGGTTGTTCAAGTGATCGGACATATAGCGACGTCCATTGTGGCCATGTCCGTTGTTATTACCATTTCCGTTGCCGGAGTAGTCCCGCGATAGAGCCGGACACACGCCACGTCGGTAGTTCATATAATCGGGTGGTCCATTCGCATTACCATTCACGATTCCGTTCCCGATACCCCTGTTGTTGTTGTTGTTATTATTATTATTGCCGTTGTTGTTGTAGCCACGTTGGTGATTGTGGCCGAGATTGGGCGAATTCCCGGGTCCCTGACCCTGGCTGTGGCTATTGATGGGTGCGGATGCGTTATTAATATGATGTTGTTGTGGTTGTTGTTGTTGGGGCAGCATCGAAGACGCAGACGAAGACGATGACGAAGACCCATGAGGAATTATATCGGTACAAGAATTTACATTCACAACATCAGTAGGATTACTATTTGTTGTTGGATTGGTTGAATTGAAAGTTGTTGCGTTGATTGAATTTGAATTCGTTCGTGTTAGCGGGAGGGATTGGCGATTAGTCTGTTGCTGTGGGCTATGCAATGGATGGTACTGGTGTGGTGGATGGTACTGGTATCGGTATTGGTACTGGTACTGGAACTGGTACTGACTATGATGTGGACTGGGATGATGGTTCTGACTACGTGGCGGTGGGTTATGCTGATTCTGATCACTAGTACTGGAGTTGGAATTGGAATTAGAGCTGGAGTTGGAATTGGAACTGGAATTGGAATGGGATCTGAGGCCAAAGGACACTACTCGCTGGGCGGGAGGCGTGGCAGGGCCAAGCGTTAGGCACAAACGGGCGGGATTCAGTCGCACCAGGGAAACGGACATGGATCCATAGGTGTGGGATCCCCTACTTCCCGTACACATCTCGTAGAAATTGGAATGGGAATTCTGATTCTGGCTAGGATGGACTTGGGGATTACTACGCTGACTACTGGGATTGTTGCTAGCATTGCTGTTTGTATGACCATTGCTGTGTGGGGAGTTGGGGGAATAGGTATGCGGTGGGTATTGGCGGTAACTGTTTAACTGCTGTGGTGAACTCGAATGCGGGTGGTGGGGTGAGTGCATTTGGGGGTGGTGGGTGTGGTGGTGACCTTGGTGGGGGGAATGATTAGTGTGACTGTGGCTCTGAGTGTGACCATTGTTGTTGCTGTTGTTGTGATGATGATGCGCTTTGCTATTGTTATAAATACAAGTTCCGCTAGAATTACTTGTTTGTACATCGCTGGATTTTCGATTTTGAGGATTGCAGTTGCAGTTTTGTTTTAGATAATATGTAATACATATATACGTATATATAGAGAGTATAATATTCGGTTGTACGAGATACAGTTGAAAATTGTTCAATCAAATCAATGCAGTAGCAGTGTGTGGTAGTATTAAACACAACCCATATATAGTTATTTGTATGCATATTACATGTACAGGTAGTAGGTAGTAGTAGTAGTGGTGTATATATGCATAGTGGTAGCCACACACATACGTTATTTATATAGTTTTTTATTTTGCAGTAGTTTTCGGTTTTTTTTTTTTTGGTTTTATATGAAGAAGAAAGAAAAACGAAAAAGATAAAAATAATATATATGTAAATGGCAAAATGCAATAATTAGATATTAGTTTAATATAGATATATATATATATAATATCGATATGTACACACATTTAGTATAAAACAAATACGTACGTACTAATTAGTTTCACATCGTTTGCAGATTTTTCTATTTCCTTTTTTTTTAGTTCTGCTCTTTTGTTTTGAATGCATTTTAGGTGGAAATTTGGTTAGATTTCTATTTTATTTATTTATTTGTTGCTCGCATTGTTTTTATGCACACTACGCTTACCAAAATCGAAATGGAAACGGAAATCAAAACAACGAAACGCCAATCGCACACTGTTCTTCACACTATTCAAATTTAACGTAACGGCAAAAAGGCAACTGTAACGTAATAGGCCGTTCTCACTAGCTAAACACGAGAGAAATACATTGGATACGTATATATATATTTTGAGAGAGATAGAGAGATAGTGCTGGTCATGCTCCAAAACTATATGAAAGAGAACGTAAACCGAAAACGTAAATAAACTGGTACAAAAACAACTCGTACGTAAGCTTGAGCTTTTCTTCAGCCTGTGAAAAAGCTATTACGAATTACTGTTATGTTTGTTATTTTATTGCGGGGTGGGAACGGATACGGAAATGTAACATAACGAGATCCAAGAGATCGTGATCGAGCTGGGCACACACCATAAAGTAGTTCTTATGCCTATGTATAGTTACTTATGTACACGCACAGCAAGAGAGTGAGGGAAAAGGGGCGTGTCTTAGCGCCGAACACTTTAATTTAATCGTAACGTATGTAAGCCGGTGTCTGCGTAACGTAGTAACTCTTACGGTCTAGATGCAAAAGCTGCGATTGCAACTGGCTAAAGAACAACTAATGTAGGTACAGCTGTGTTTTGGATAAAAGCAGCGAGCAACTCGTTAGAAAAGAAAAAATAAAAAAAAATAAATTTGAAAACATAAAATTTAGAATTGATGTCCCTGAATTTAAAGGGTCTGACAAACACAACAACTTTTAAACTAATAGAGAAAATGCTGTATTTATTTGTTAGAGGTGCTTTTTTTCCACTACTATTATTTAAACACAGCTGTATTGCAGTTAGACGACAAATCAAAGAAGAGTACTTGATAAACAGAGTGTGACAATAACCATACAATGCTGTACTTGTTATTGTTATTATTATTATTGTGGCTCGCTTAAAGTTACACACACACACAAACAGTCAGTAATAGAAGAGAGCAGAAAGAGAGAGATATATAGAGAGAGAGCAAGGATTAAATGAAAAGGAGAAGGATATGCTCGAGCTTTTTAAAAAGAGTTGATTTAACAGTTGTTTTTCGGTAATTTGTCGGTTTTCATTGTTAAATTGAGTTAACTTTTGTTTTTTTTTTTTTTTGGATTTTCTATGAGGTTGGTTTGTCAAACATTCTAAGCCGCAGTGTGCAAAATGCAAATAAATAAGTAAAACATTAAGCTGAGTTTGTTGATCATTTGCAAAACTCGACTCGGTTCGCCTCGACCTACGCAAAGTTAAGCAAAATACATCAATCAATAGTCTTCAATATACTTAGCTATCAATCAAGAAACTCAACTAAAATGCATCATTCATAAAATGTCGAAATTGAAAAAAATTACAACTAGTTACGGTACGGTTTGGATAAAGAGGAAATTTTGTAACTAAATTCATACTTGGCTTGCACTTTTCACGGTTGCATTTCACATATTTATCATCGCATTTATGTTTGTTCTTGGTTTTTGCTTGTTTTGGTTTAATAATAATTCAACGAATAGCATAAAACGTGAAGCGACACTATTGCGCAAAACTAAAATTAGGTAATCAAAATCAAATAAAACCGTATATCAAATCAAAATGTTCTAGGTGGGGTTAGGTCTTGAAATTGGGAGCAGGTGGAAACACTATCTGATTGATTTTATAGTGTATGAATTACTTCAATATACATCTTAAGGATTCTTGGCCTACAAGACTGACAAAGTCTGATTGACATATTACATAAGAAGTCCATAAATAGAATCTGTTAATAATTTTCTATTTTTGATTAATTATAATCCTCAACATCTATTTGTCAATATTTCGCTTTATATGAGAAAATGCCTCGATACAGATTTTAAAGTAATCTTTTGATAGCCATGCAAAATAAGAGTTCTTATGAATAGAAACAAATTTTCACATTGGACTGACTCCAATTCCCACTGAAATGGGATAGTCCTGTTTCGAGGCTGCATGAAAAGCACTTACCCACCCAACTATATAATTGATAATTCCTGTCAAACGTCGTCTGCCGATGGCTCCACCGTCGATGTTTCCTTGACCAATCAATTAAAACTCACTTAAATCTACTGCTGACTCCTGCTCTAAAGAGTTAAAAGCCCATAAAGGTAAAGGTAATGGTAGTAATTGCCAGCTAAACTGCCCACACAGTAAGGAGCCAGGGGAAAAGCGAAGGAGGATGACGTTTAAGGTAGGTCCTTGGGGATGTACTGAATGGACCAGAGAGTGACGGAGAGAGGGGGAGAGAGAGAGATAGCATGCTGGTAAGTACTTAAGTCCGTTAGACGCGGTTTACTCAAAATGAAGAAGAAGCGTTGGGGACAAAGAAACGACTACGAAACGAAAGAGAAATTGCTACGTAATAAGTTTGGTTCGCCATTTTCAAGTGCTTTTCATGCATTTTCTTAGGGAACTGAACTGTTTGATTGGTCTTAAGTCTATGAAACATTGAACGTTCTTCAAGTTATTACAAGTTATTATGGAAATTAAGAGTTTCTGATTCGATTAATACGCATACGGTATCTTCTACGCAACTTCACACTGCTCAAATTTCGGGTATGGTAATAAAAGCGGTTAAAAAATGTACATACGATAGGTATAGGTAAACCATTAAGTAAATTCAAATCAAAACCCAGTTCTTGCTGCTGGATAGTATAATGGAGGGTTGTGTATGTGTTTTTTCATGTCAATGCTGGGGTAGTTACAACGTTAATTAGTATATATATGGTATGGTATGGTAACTGAGTGGGTTAGGAGGTCGGTTGGGGTGCCAATTTTGACGAGGAACAAAACACAAAATGTACAGTACGCAAGAGAACGCAAGAGAGTTACAAATGATCGAGAAGTATAAACGTTATAACGTATAACACTATATTCATTATGTGTCGCCATCAAGTTGGCGAGGCAAGCTTTTTTTTTGTTTGTTTAGTGCTTCGAAAATTCAACGGTTAGGACCAATTCAAAATGTTTTTGGTTGCACTACTGAACGCGACATTAATTACAAAATTCTCCCTTTAGCCTAAAAGCGATTTTCGGTTCTTGTTTTTTTTCTTTTTTTTCAGTTCAGGTGTAATAGAGATAGAGATAGAAAGTAGATAAACTGTTCTAGTCGTGGGGGGAGGGGGAAGTTACAAGGATATGTCTTGTTAATTATGGATGGATTATCATTTGGGGATTTCGGGAGCGGTTCGGATTGGACGGGGGGTACGTTTCAAATTCGCTTTTCATTTCAATGTCACTTAAGGCTAACATAGAGCTCGATTCCGGAGGAGGATCTCGAGAGAGTAGGTGGAAATGGTTCAGAAACACAAGCGGCTCTCGGCTCTTACCAATTTGGGTTTGCATCTTTGTTATTGACATTGTTGTTGTTGTTGTTGATGTTGCCACCGTTGTTGTTGTTATTGTTGTTGTTTATGATGTTGGCACCGTTGTTGTTATTGTTGTTGTTGCCGTTGCCACCGTTCAAATTGACGTTGCACCATGGACTGTTGCCCAGCCACAGGTTGTTATTGTTGTTGTTGCTGGAACGCTGCTGCCCCTGTTGCTGCTGTTGTTGTTGTTGCTGCTGCTGGGCGTGCGGGTGCGAATGTGGGTGTGGCGAGTAGAGCATGCGACCGCCTAGTCCGCCCCCACCGCCGCGTTGCGAGCGGACCGATGAGGAATTGCGGGAAAAGGGCCGACGGCTGCTGCCCCCATGATTGTTGCCGTTGTTGTTGTTGCCGCCGGTGGCATTTGAGTTCAGCATGCTGCTGCAGATGCTGCTGCCGCACTGTTGTTGCTGCTGCTGCTGCTGTTGCTATTCGACTTTCGACTGGGCGAGAGCTTTCTTTGGACTTTTCTCGTAATCACACAGCTGCGGGGCGGGAGTAAAAACGAGAAGGAAACGAGACGATTTGCTTATAAAGTGGCCGCTTGAACACTTAACTAGGCAGCCCGGTTCCGTTTGCAATCTGAATACGATTGGGACCATCCAAAACTGATCAAAATCTTAACTTTTTTTTACAAATACACGTGACTCAAGGCTAGGAATATATGCTTTGGGTTATAGTACCATTTGTCCTAAAAGAGCTTATTCTTTTTTTTCCCGAATCAGACAACAAAATTTAGTTTACTTCCGCGAATTCTTGAGCATATGAAATATCATATCAGAACTCTAATGCATGATGGCTAATACTATTAGCTGAGATTTACAAGTCATTCGAAAAGACAATGTATGTATTGTATTTTATTCAAAAAGTAGAATTCGTTCAAGTTCGTGATGCCACCAACTCAGATTATAATCGAAAACGGAAAAGGTCTTGTACGCTCTAGATGTTTGTGGATTTTAATTTGTGGTTTTTGATATTACATTTTGGTGTTGTTTATTATTATTTGTTTAGGAAGAAGTATTCTAAGCCGGACCCGCGCTCCAGAACAGAAAGCAAACAACCAACAAGCCAACATGCTCAATAACAAAACATTTATGGTTTCTCTAGTAGGCAAAATACTTACTTAGGCAAGGATAATAAAATATTTATATATGTGTATATATTGATATGTATATATACGTGTGGGTGTGTTTATGTGTGGATATATGTAAATATTTATTGTAATCGTAATAAATAAAACAGCAACAATTTTTCAGTTTGTTTAAACAGTGTAGCTTTAATAGGTTGTCAATTATATGGAACTGAGATGAGATACGTGCGTGGTTAGTTTTTCAACTATAGGTATAAGTACGATATAAATGTATATAAAGTCATGTATTTGGGGGTATGTGAAAAAGCTGCCGATACAGATACGATTACGATATATATAGATATAGATATGTATATAAAGTTAACAGTTACGGGTACATAGGTAGTACATATGTATGTGTATATGTGAGCTAACTCCGCCGACTCCGTTCGCCCATGATAATAAGTGGTAACGACAAATTTTACACTTCCAGCGTTTCCATTTTCATTTGTTAAACACGATAACCCATCGTTAAGCCGCCCCTCGCATATATACATACATATTTATCTCTAGATGTGTGTGTTTTACATGGATATGTCAACTGAACAAAAACAATATTAGTGGTTTCTGTTTCTGTTTTTGGGTTTCGGTTTCGGTTTCTTTTTTGGTTTCAGTTTCTGTTTTGCTTTCGGCTTCGGATTGGATGGATATGAATGGATCGAGGTTGAGGGGCGGATGACTGATTACAAACTTATCACTTATCGCCCGGCGGGCAGTTAGTACAATCGAAAGATTCCAGATTCAAGAGAGCGACAGATAAAGAGGGTTACACTTAACGTACATGGGCCGTGTGTTGTGGGTGTGTGTATATGTGTGCTCTATAAGTAGGTAATATAAATACTAGGCGTAAAATAGAAAACGAACATGTGCAAAGTAAAACAAACAGTGTGACAAAGTCGTGTTGTCGTATATAGTATATAGCATAAATGGATGGGTTAGATCGATCGTATTTGGAACCATTAGGAGAACAAAGGACAATTACAAATAATTACAACATGTCTAATCGTACTTTGTACTTCTTTTCAGTTTTCAGTCTTTGATAGTATGTTTAACAGGTTTACAAAAAAAAGGTAAAGCTTACAAACTAAAGCCGTTTGGTTTGCCAGTGGCGGTAGACCGTTGATAGGTTGGTTGGTTGATTGGCACAGGATGGCTGATAGGTTGGTTGGTATTGTAGGCAGTTCGAGGATTAAACGTTTAAGACTTGCGCTGAGATTCAGGTGTGCAGTTTGCATTTTGCATATTGCAGTTTGCAGATTACATTTGCATTTGCGCTTGCGGTAGTTGGTCAGTGAGTTTGAGATACAGATACGGATACGGCCAGATACAAAAGTGTCAACGGCACGACACGGCACGGCAACGCAAGGGGCAGATGGCAGTCTTATGTGGTACATACGGGCATGTATTTAGTATACACTTTCGGTTTAGTTGCTTTCGGTATCAGTATCGCTATTTATTGGTTTTTACATGTGGCTATATACGAGAGTCAATAGGGGAAACACTTGATGATCGGTATTCGTTTGAGAGACGTGTGTGTTAAAGAAGCGGGGCACGTCTGGCCGCGGCCGTTAACAATGCAAATTTACCACCAAAACCAGCAATAAAATATTGTATGTATGCTAAAACAAAGAAAATAAAAGTAAAAGAAAACATTGCTATTACATTCAGTTGAGAAACTAATTACTTGGGTTTGTTTAGTTTGGTTAGCAATAAATGTATGTATATGTGGGATAATATTAAAATATAGATCTATATATATATAAAGCCCGGTTTTAATTGCGGCCAATGAGTATTAATGCCAATGTAATGCAAATTAGACGTAAAAAATAGGCAGGCAGTACAATATACAAATGCTTGTTTATCATAACGATAATGGTTGTAATTGTGGTTCAATATACAGTTGCAGTTAAAATAATAGTGCTGTAAACTATTTTTGGTTTGTAGTCTCTGAGAAATGGTTACTTGTATATGTCGAAGTGGAGTAAAGTTTCTTCTAAGAATAAGGTTAGTGTTGCTTATAACAGAACTTTTTAGACACATATTGTTTATATTTTCGAACGAAAACGAAATATATAGCAAAATAATTGAATTCTCTAATATATAGCCAAAAGATGTTAGAGTCGCCTGGCAATAACTTTTTGTAGCCCCCGAAAGTATGCTGCAATATATTCTTAGCATAAAAAGACTATCTTCTTCTTTTCATAGCATTTCGACCCTTTGAAGTGGTTTGAAAACTCTAAAGATTTCGGAAGCACCCCCTTGTATAACGACTCTGTCACGGCATAAAGACCCTCTTTAACCAGGGTATTTGTGGTAAATGTTATTATACAGATAAGATAAGTGCATTTCTAAACATAGATTATAAGACTTAATGGAGCGATAACATATATGTATGTATGTATATAAAGAGCGACCTCTTTGGAGCTCCATTTCAACATGTTAAATAGACTACATTTCCGTAATTTAACTATTATTTTGACCACAACTGTGTGTGCATGGCCCAGTGCGGCGCTCCAGCTCCCGAACTCCGATCGAAAAGCAATATAGCAACTATTACTTCAATGAATACTTGGGCAGAGTCGGTGTTCGAGTTGGGGTCTCACTACGCCCACTCAAAATTAAAACAATAAATTATAAAAAATATGCGCATATACACACAAGCAAGCAGACATCAAAATATTCGCTTTTCCCATGGAGTCCAGACCCCAACACATATACACACACACACACCGATGAGAGGACCCACCTAGCTGTGCATATGTGTGTGTGTGGGTACTCCTCTTGTTGTTGCTATTGCGTAGTCATGGCAGTCAACTTCATCGAATGCTCTTTTTTCGTTTTTCTTAGTTTCGTTTTCTTTACACACATTGGTTATATGAATATATGGATATGTATACCAACGAAACGCTTGTTGGCTAGCTGGTTTTTGGCAATTACGCTGCGCTGTGGCGTTTCAAAACACGATGATGGGGCTAAAAATTGTGCCTTTGTGGTATAGACACGGTTTAATTTGCATTGGCTGCTGCCCCAGCAGAACTGCACTTTGAACTCACAGACACACACACACACACGCCGAAATATGGATTTCTGAGCATAGCATTCGGGGCGGGGTATTGATATTGGTATTGAGTTATAAGCGGAGTAATCCGAATATTTAGAATAATAATACTACACACCAGACGCGGAGCTCCCGACTAGACGGCAGACAAAGACGCAGTGTGGTAAAATGTGCCCAGACCAGATGGGGCGCTCTCTGGTCGTGCCTCGCTCACTCTCTTTTCCGCTGCGAGTGTAGATATATGGATGGAAAAATCGAAACTCTGTGGCTGGGGCCAGCCCCCCGCCCAATCTAGCTATCTCGCTTGCTCGCACGGACAAAATCAACACAAGTTCACACACATACAGGCACACGGATGTGAACTCACAATGACAACCACTTCGTCACCAGCAGATAAAAAAAGTGCTGGCCTTAAGACAATTGCGTTTTATGTAATTCCACTACATACGTACGTTACGAAAACAAGCACTATTCTTATTACACGGTGTACAGGATTACTTGGTATCGAGTCCAGATTGCTTGGCAGAAATAGTATCTTTAATTTTTACGCTTTATGGGAGTTTACCTTGGGTTCGACCTGACAAAGAGTGTGGCCGCGGCGAGACTGTGGGAAATTACCAAGTACTGTCTGCCATATTAATCCCAAATATACCAGAAATAAACTGGAAACATTTGCTTGCTGGAATTTTAAATTATAACCTATTTTGCTCTATGTTAAACTCAAAATTATTAAAAAAAAAAAAGCAAAGCAGTAATTCAATAGCAGAAATTTACAACTCTTTATTCAGTCAGTAATAACAGTAGGGAATTTATTTATGGCTTAGTGAGATTTTCGCACGTTCGCAATACGGTCAGACGAATCTCCGCTGAAAACGCTACTAGCCTTTAACTCCTGTTGAAAAAATCAGGATTTATTAATAAAAACATTTCAACTTGCTCCTAGAAGAGTGTGCGGTACTATAAAACTAATCTTTTAACAAATCGGCAATACGAAAATGTAAGTAATTGCATCGCACTTTGCTCCCTAAAAGGGCTAAAACATTTCGCTTTTCTCGGCCGCAAAAAAAAAACAGGGCGCGTGCCCAGAGTCCCGCCGGCGAGGGTGAGAAGGAAAAGGACAACAAGGAGAAGGACGCCAAAGAGAAGGACGGCAAGGCGACCAGCGGCTCCTCGCGCAGGGACCGCGAGCGCAAACGACGCGGATCGGCGTCCTCCAGCAGCGACTCCAGAAGCAGGTAAACCAGCCGGCAAAGGTGTTCCCCACAAATGGCTGCCATCTGGCACCCAGAATAAGGGTTACTTCTTCGTAGTCCTTCGTGTTAGGTTTTTCCTGTCGGAATAGCCGACAGTAGAGGGAAGAAATATTCTTCCGAGCGAAAAGAATTTGTAAATGTCATTGTAATTTATATACCATATATGGGAATAGTTTCAGCGTATTTAAAAATGTGTTTTACTTTTTCAAAGCTTCATTGTCGCTTTCTTAGTTGCGAGCAATAAATACAACCTTTAACCTCTTCCAGCTCATCAGACAGCAGCTCCTCGCGCAGCAGTTCCGGGTCATCGCGTTCCAGCTCAAGCAGCTCTAGCGACTCCTCGAGCTCCTCATCGTCGTCGTCCAGTGACTCGGATCGCAGCGAGAAGAACCGACGACGTGGCGGCGTAGCTACTGGCAAAGACAAGGACAAGGATAAGCCCAGTGCCCGATCACGTTCCCGCTCTCGCACCCGTTCCCCCAGACGCGTCTCCAAATCTCCCAGACCGGGCAGCAAGACGCGAAAGGAGCCGGAGCGAGATCGCGATCGTCGTAGTCGTTCGAGGGATCGTGCCCGCCGTGCTGGATCCAACGATAGGCCAGCCGTAGATAGCAATAATGTTAAGCGCGAGCGCTCCCGCTCAGCCAGTCGTTCACGATCGCCACGTCGTCGTGGTCGTGGCTCCGTGGAGAGGACGCCGCCACCGAAGAGAAGGGAGCGCTCCCGGTCGCGCAGCCGCACACGTTCGCCTACGCCTAAACCGGTGCGTATACATGTCGGTCGCCTCACCCGCAACGTGACCAAGGACCATGTGTTCGAGATATTTAGCAGCTTTGGGGATGTGAAGAATGTGGAGTTCCCCGTAGATCGTTACCACCCGAATTTCGGACGCGGCGTGGCGTTTGTGGAATATGCCACCGCCGAGGATTGCGAGTCGGCCATGAAGCACATGGATGGTGGGCAGATAGATGGCCAGGAGATCACGGTATCCCCAGTTGTCATACCTAAACAGCGGCCGCCCATGCGTCGTCCCTCGCCACCGATGCGCCGACCGCCAAACAACCGCTGGCGATCCCCACCCCAGTTCAATAGGTTCAACAATCGTGGAGGAGGAGGTGGTGGCGGCGGCGGCGGACGTCGTCAATCGCCCATAAGGAACAGGCGTTCGCCTCGTCGCCGCTCCCGCTCTCCCATTCGTCGACGACGCCGCAGCAATAGCAGTGACAGCTCTCGTTAGAAGACACTGATCGACTCCTAGTTTCTACAATTGACACGATTATTGCACTTTTCTTTATATTTTAATCCAAATAATAAACGTGAGCAAATGCCACATATAAAGAGTTGGTTCAGTGTATAAACGAGCACTCAGTATCCTCGAGAGGACATCCCAACGGGTGATGAAGCTTGAAAAAACAGCTACGTTTTTTGATGGTAAGATGGGATTGGGGGAGAGCAGCAGTTGGTTTAGGGGTTCTTATTCCTATGAGATCACCAGCGCAGAACTCGAAAACTTCGTGTTTATTGCGCATCAACGTTTTGATGCCACCGCACTCGGATTTGATGCCACTCAACTCCTCCTTGGTGAGAGCCTGGGCAATCTGTCGCATTGGCAGACGACCAAGCCATTTATCTTCGTTGGAATCCAGAATCAGTTTAAATATCTTAAGAACTAGAGCATCAATTATGGATTTATCCACCTGCGTGCAATTGCGAACGCCTTCCTCCTTCTCGCGCAGCTTAATTTCGGCATCTCTGGTTTTATACTTTCTTAGCTCTTCCTGGACAAAGTACTCCAAATCTCCAATTGCCTTGGAGGCTTTTCTTTTAATTCCCAACAGAGCCAAGCGCTTGGTGCTTGGTATTTTGAGGCGGTCTTGTAGGATCTCATAGCCACATTCATGAGAAACCTGAGTGACGTATAGAAAGAAATCCTGGTAGGCACTTATCTTCGTATTCCGCCTGCGGAACTTGGCTCCTGACAGTTCATAGGGACAGCAGGGCAGTAGGAAAAAGTTGATGTTCAAACGACCAGCCAAAACCGGAAGCCAAGGAGACAGTTCGTCCGAATGATTACCTATCAACCAATCCACATCCGGAAAATCCAAGCGGAAGTTGTTAGGCTCCACGGCCTTTTCAATGAGGCTCTTTTGGGTTTCCGGCGGATAAAGAGACCATAGCTTTCGTTTTCTTATATCGTAGCCATAGCCTTTGTAGCCCTCAGCGTTCAGCACATGAACTAAAAGACCGTTTCCACAACCCAAATCAGCGAAAGCTTTCGGCTCCGATTGCGTCTGACTCCATAAAACTATGAGATAGGCGGCGATGGCCAAGTCTTCGTAAATGAACTTCAACGGATCCGTGGATTCCTTGGCGGTTTTCCAGTGTTCTAGAAGGCGTTGTGAATGCCTCTGTTTCAATTCCTTGTACAGATCATTGTACCTTTCCACATTTACCAAACCCAGTGACTTCACCTTTGATTCATCTTGCCTGGACTGGGACCAGCTTAAAAGCTTTGGCCTGAGCACAAATTCCAACCAGTTGGGATTAGATTTGGACTCCAGTTGAAACTGCCCCTCAATAAGTCTCACGGAGAAGTCTTCGATGCTATCGCTGGCAAATTGACACTCATAGAAACATTTCTCAAAGTCTGTAATTAGGAGGCTTGTCAGTTGTGTATAAATAAACTAATGTAGTGATTATCCCTACCCACAATTCCGGTGCCTAGGATGTTATCCCCCAGTTTTTTGGGCAGCAGTTTGAATCCGATCGTAAATACTGTGCACGTGCGCTTGTTTGGGTCTTCCTTTAGGGACATGGATAGCTCCTCCGCACTGGATTCACACAGACGCCCATCCTGCTGCTTTTTCACTTGGGTAATGACTACCTCGAATATCTTTTTATTCAAAGCATGATAGTTTTTGATCAGTATTCCAATTGCCTGCCAGAATTGTGCTTCTTCTACTGCTGCCATGGTGTTGAAAAAGAAAGGTGGCACAAGGAAATCACGAATATTAAGTATACGCACGATAGGTGGCTGCTCCTATCGATATTCGTTTGGCGCATATTTAAAACGAAACCTGCTTGCGTTAGTCATTGTAATTTAGGAAAGGATATTAGTTAATGTCGTCTTTTTTAAGTTTTTAACGAGAAAATACTAGAAAAACGTATTTTTAATGACTGCAGGTACTGTATACCTGTAGGATACCCTTCAATATGACAATGTCGCATCAAAATCAGCATATAACAAATTAAATTTAAAAGAAAGTGTTTTAAAGCTTACTTTTAATAAATATATATTAAGAATTTATTTGGAGATCCCGATAACAAATCACTAAAACATCGATTGATTGAGACTTATCGATATGGTAACAACCTATGAATTGCGTAATCAGCTGGGAAACACGCAGCTGAATCTTCAAAATTACCTGTTGCATTTATTAGATTAGGCACAAAGTATATATCATGTCATTCCTGCGAAAATCGGTGCACTTATTGGGCTCAGTGGCGAGGCGCCAACAACACCTAAAAGTGGTTAGTACCTGGAGTGATCAGATGGGGCTGTTGTTATTTGTTGCTTCTGCCACTGACAGATTGGAGGAGCGATCTCAACAGCTGCGCGGGACTACGGCTCGACACCATCCGATGATTACGCGAATTTTCCCGGCGCTAGGGCTCCGTTTGTCAGCAAGTTGAACCTGATTCAACCAGAAGACTATGCACCAATACCAATTTACCGGGTGATGGACCAGGATGGCTATATAGCGGATGAGACCCAGGATCCCCAGCTGGGCCGTGAGGTTGTGGAGAAAATGTTCCGCGATATGGTGCTGCTGAACACCATGGACAAAATCCTGTACGAGTCTCAGCGACAGGGCAGAATCTCGTTCTACATGACCAATTTCGGCGAGGAGGCTTCACACATTGGCAGTGCCGCCGCCTTGGAGATGCGAGATCTGATCTACGGGCAGTATCGCGAGGCTGGTGTTCTGGTATGGCGTGGCTTTCGCATCGACCAGTTCATTGATCAGTGCTACGGCAACACAAACGACTTGGGTCGCGGCAAGCAGATGCCAGTCCACTACGGCTCAAGGGAACTTAACTTTGTCACCATCTCTAGTCCGCTTTGTAAGATAAACTACTATAATAGCTATAGCTGAGGGAATGCTAATGGTCTCTTGCATTTGCAGCCACCCAAATGCCTCAGGCCGTTGGCGCTGCCTACGCCATGAAATTGAAGCCAAACAACGATGCCTGTGTGGTCTGTTACTTCGGTGAGGGAGCTGCTTCCGAGGGAGATGCACATGCCGCCTTCAACTTTGCTGCCACGCTGGGTAGTCCGGTTATCCTCTTCTGGTGAGTAACTTCAAGATATACAAGACATTACATTAGATTAGATAACATTGAAGTAACAATGAAGTAACTTCAATAACATTTATTGAAGTATTTTTTATCTTATCAAAATTATCATTCCCTATCCCTGCTCTATTTAAATATGTTCTCAATGACATACCTTTCCAGTCGCAACAACGGTTTTGCCATATCCACCCCATCCCGTGAACAGTACAGGGGCGATGGAATCGCAGGTCGGGGACCTATGGGCTATGGAATTGCTACCATTCGAGTGGATGGCACAGACGTCTTCGCCGTGTATAATGCCATGAAGGCTGCCAGGGAGTATGTCCTAAAGGAGAACAAACCGGTGGTGTTCGAAGCCTTGGCGTATCGAGTGGGCCACCATTCCACCTCAGATGATAGTACAGCCTACCGACCTGCAGAGGAGATCGAGGTTTGGAACTCGGTGGAGCACCCAATATCCAAGCTCAAACGCTACATGGTGCACAAAGGCTGGTTCGACGAGGATGTCGAAAACGAATACGTCAAGGATATTAGGAAAAAGGTTTTAAAGCAGATTGCAGCGTCCGAGAAGAAACTAAAGCCCAACTGGCGTGAAATGTTCGAAGGAGTCTACGCGGAGATGCCACAGCATTTGATAGAGCAGCGTAACGAGCTGGAAAAACATATCGAGGCCCACAAGGAGCACTATCCTTTAAAGAACTTTGAGAAATAGATTCCGCGTGCCAAAAAGATACTAACAACTCAGAAATCAAAGCGAACCGAGAGACTCGATCGAAAGTGCATTTATTATGATTAAGCAATAGGCAAACGTTTTTCTGTGGGTTCAACCCCTTTGTTATGACTCATCTGTGCAGGTGGGTCGGTGGTTATGTGAAATTAGACACTTTTTTTTGGGTTTTCTCTGGTTTATGAAGAGAATTAACTTGGCTGCATCCTAGGTCTTAATTTGCACATTCAAAGTGACCCACTCTGGTGCAGGTGTTATGAAAAGGTGTTAAAATTTATTAAACTTGATTTACATACAATATACATATACTGAAACAATACGAATACAAATATATACTTTTGACTTAACGCAACGCATCGCAGACAAAAACGCGGGTGGAGATGAAGCTACCTGTTGCAGGATGACTCGCTGAAGCTTGGCTGGAATGATGCAGGAACGGGAGTTGCTCCTTTCAATTGGTGCGCAGCTGATAGTCGCCGTTCTGCGTGATGTAACGCACCCACGGCAGCGCCTGATATCCGCTCTTCTCGATGATCTTCAGGTAGCGCACCTGAATGCCCGACGTTGTAAAGTACGGAATCTCAAAGCGCACCTGAATTGGCGGCTTGCCCTCCGTATTGTCCTCGCTTTCCACGCTCGGCAGACCAAAATGTGCCCTCATTAGATACTCCTTGCCACCCGGGAACGATTTGATCGTCCAGATGATTGCGTTCTGCTCCGGTGCGTACTTGCAGCTGCCAATGGTTGTCTTGAACTTGGGCGAGTCCGCGTCGGCGGGCACTGGTATGACGATCTCCACGTTGTTGGCCGTCGATCTTCGCTTGAACTGAGACTTTGCCTTGATCATGTACTCCACACGGGAGTGGGCATGCCGCTCGATCACCGATTCTATCCAAATCAGGGGCTTGACCTGTCAACAAGGGTTTAGTTAGTCTTGCATGGCTTAAGTACTTAAAGCTACTTACATGCGTGTTCAGACGATAGGACATAAGTTCGAACTCGCCGTCCGGAGGAATGAACGAGATTGTGCGGTCATTCTCGAAGCGCGACAGCCGCACGCACTGGTGAAACTTCACGTCCTCCAGCTCTACGGACTTGGACTTGCCACGGCCCGTGCTCTCGAACAGGACCTTGTCGTTGAGACCCAGTCGCAGTTCCGGCATTCCCGAAAGGTAGACACGCATCTTAATGGCGCCCACGATCTCGCTGCGCAGCACATTGCCGTTGGCGTTTGCCAGAAGATTTACCGACTCGATAACGTCGAGGAACACCTCATTCTTGCGGTACTTGATGCCCTCGGATCGCCAGGACACTGCATTGGTCACGGCCACCGGTATGCGGGGCTGAAGCTCCAGCTTATGACCCTCCTGCGTAATGTATTCTTGTAGGATTTTCGAGTCGGTGGTCTGCGGGTAGCCAAAGTCGAGCAATTCATCAAGCAGCTCGTAGATGATCACGAAGTTGTCCCGAATGGACTCCTCCTCCAGCTCCTTGAAGTATTCTACAAAGACCTGGGCGATCTTGTGTAGAAAGACAAAGACCAGGGCGATATTAACGTTTTTATTGCGCGGCGTCGTGGATACGATATAAAGATTATTGGTCTTTATGTAGGCAAACGTAGTCTCCGCTGTCTGAAGAATTGGGGTGATCAGGCCCTCCTCCTCGCGCTCCATCAGCAACGGCATGAATTTGTCGATTACGGCCATGTCGATGTTGTCACCGCGGTAGTTCCGCGATATCAGCACCTTGCCCTTCACGTCCAGAACGAAAATGGCCGATGAAGACATGACTATTGGTTCCCAGCAGCTGCCACTTGTCCCAGGTGTAAAATTCCCAATTGGATCGAGTGGGAGGTCGCTTGGCTGGCTCTACTGCTCGCGGCAGGCGTTGCGCGTACGGGTTGGCGACTGTCGCGTTGTGTCGATGAGTGGGCTTGGTCTGTTGATGAGCTGGATTTACATATTCCGTTTCGTGGCCTGGAAAATGCGAATGAAAACTCCGAAATTTCTTACGTCGCCTTTTCTGCAGCTGCTTCTTCTTATTCGTTTGCCCACCAGTGTTGTGAAATGAATGTACCAGGTGTTGGACAGTGTGGCCAGGTGGGATTCGCTTAGTGCTGCTTTTCTAGCTACTTCAGCTGAAAATTTTAAAAGAGTATTTCATTTAATATCTTAATAAATCTGTCTTTAAAATTATCTATATTTTGAATTAATAGTTTATTACCCATTGATCCCTGTTAAATCAAATAATGTATATTTCGTATCATACCCTATATCATCTATATTGCGATTTGGCATTTGTGGCCATCCGCAATACGGCCACACTGCTGATAGTCCAGACGCTGCTTTTGTGGAATTGTTAATTATTTACTTCGGCGAGCATGCAAATGAACCCGAGCGTCACAATCGAGCGCAAACGCGTCGACTGCAGTGTCCTGCCAAAGGGATGGCAACGCGACGAAGTCCGAAAATCCGGCAGCAGCACCAATAGCAACAACAGCAGCAGTGCCACAGCAGGCAGCAACAACAACAATAACAAGGTGGATGTTTTCTACTACAGGTAAAGAAGAAGAGCAGCACTACTATATAGAGTACTATATACTACCTAAAATCGGAACACTGCACGCTGTTGAATCGGATAAACGTTTAATCACTTTCACTACCTTTCTGTTATTACATCCGCATAAACCACACATCATACACCACACACACGCACACGCCTATGTATACACACACACCCACACGAACTACCTAACCCACCCAAATCTCCATCCGCCGTGTCTGTTCAGCAGTCCCACAGGAAAAAGGGCGGAGGGAAAGCCGCAGGACATTGCAATCCCAGATTTCCAGCCTGGCAAGATGCCACACCGAGCCCTGCCCTCGCCCTCCATTTCGCTGTACC